AGATATGCTAGCTCCAATGTTGTTATTCACATATACAGGGTGACTTCGAAGTTGAGTCATTTATTTTAACAGTGAGTAGATCTGATCAAAAGGAATGTTTTTTTCCTTTACCATTTTTCTGGTAAAATTAAAGTAACAAAGTTATAGTCCTTTGGAAGTTTGAGTACCGTCCTGTCTCAATAATAATATTATGTGCTCGTGTTTGGCAACAACGGATATAATCCGCCTTATCAGTTCATCGCATCGGAAACAAAAAAGCGAAAGAATTTGGAACGATGTTTTTACAATTATTTCATTCAGTTGTATACAGTCAGTGTCAGTCGGTAGTTGATAGTGGTGTCTGTTGCGTGGCTCAAACGAAATAAAAAATGGCACATGTTTATGCGGATCGGTTTCCCAATCGAGTGCAACCAACCCCTCGTGCCTTTGTTAATGTAGTACAACGGGTTCGTGAATCATTTGACTTAAGACCTCACATATGGACGGCATGCCGGTGCTCCAAGACCTCACGGTCAAATACAGGTCCGCACTGAAATACTTGTCGGGAGGCTACTTTATAAAACAAGGTAAATTTTTTTTTTAATTTTTTTTTATTTTTACACACATATGTATTTTGGTTTATCTTCCTTCTACAATCATTATCTGAAAATTAATGACTCAACTTCAAAGTCACCCTGTATACGCATTATACGGTTCAGTAGGACGAGCTAGCTCTATAATTATATTTATCCAAATAAATGGTTCCAGCGCAACTCATTCCAGGTTTAAACATACCTCACTATGAACACAACTGTTGGGGAGCTGCAATACTCGCAAATTAATGAGCGTGTCAAATTAATGACGATAGCTTGTTAGTAAGATTTATCAAAATATCAATCTCGCTGTTAATTGGTAATATCAATCATAAATATGATGACATTTGGGCATTATGATTTTGTGTCCAAGCATAATACGAGGGTTGATCCTGAAATACGGTTCCCCAAAATACATGATACAGGAGGTAGGATAAAACGTTATTACAAAATATTATTATTATTATTATTATTATTATTATTATTATTATTATTATTATGACATATAGCTTAGCACAGGACACTTGATATTTGGAGGCTGGATTTAATATCGCTGGCTAAGAAAACTTCTTGTGTGCCTGATCTAGGCGTGCTGGCAACTATGCTTTTGTAGCATCTCATAAGGTATGTCATCTGGGATGCAATAGGGGAACTACCTAGCTCTTTTATACAGGGTGATTTTCAAGTCATGACCAAGAATGGAACATCATACACCGGACCGCATTTTAAGGGGATCTTCTATGTAACACTTTTTCCTCGAGGGCATCATCAAAAAGATAAAGTTTAAAAATGAAAAAACCTTTTTTTAGTACCTTCAAAACCGTCAACTGGAATGAACTTAAAGTGGATTTAACTAAGTATTGTCCACCTTCAAAAGTCCTTACTTAAAATTAACGTGCACCAGTGGCAGAGATACAGGGGCTTAGTGACATTATCTTTTCAAATAAATAATAAATCTTGACCTAGCGGAACTAATATGGGAAGCTCCATCATGGACGGCTGCTGAAAAAAGCACGACCGGGGGAATTGAGACTGTCGCTGTCCAGTGTCGCTGGAGCTATTTGAGAACCTTAATCCTGGATCAACCCTCGTATATAATAATAATATGATTTTAAATATATAATATACGCAGTGGTTCGATATGTTGTTGTAATGATATCACAGATGAAAGACACAGATTAGCCTGCACGTAGAAATTTTGCATAATATTTCACATTTCAGCGAGCGGAAGCTTTCGTAATCGTTCATCAGGAGATGGGTTTACTGCTTGAAAACCGCTTTTATCTATAACATGTAGCAACGAACAGCCCATAATTTAATTTAACTCAATTTCGAAGCATTATTATTGGCCAAACGTACAGGTATTTAAATATACTAAGTGACATATAAATCCGAACACCCAGTTTAAATGGTTTTATTTTAATAAAATTTTGTATAAGTACTTAATGAAGCATAAGAAGTGAATGATAAAAATTTCAAAATGATTGCACTGCTTTAAAGCCATTTGACCTTTAATAATGTGTGGATGCACCCTGATGTGCTACGCATTCTCCAACGCGCCTGAGCATGATTCTGATCAGGTGGTCAATGTCCTCCTGTGGTATCTCATTCCAGGCAACCACCAACTCCTCTCGAAGTGCTTCTAGAGTCTGAGGAGGACGTTGCAAATTGAGCAATCTCCTACCCATCATATCCCACACGTGCTCAATTGGGGATAAGTCGGGAGATCTTGGTGGCCATGGTAACAATGTGACATCATTATGTTGAAAGAAGTCTATTGTGACTCTTGCAACATGTGGTCGGGCATTATCTTGTTGGAAAGTTGGATCTGCCAGGGTGTCAAGATAGGGTAAAAGATGGGGTTCTAGCACTTCGTGGATATAACGCTGCGCGTTCATGTTACCTCTGATAAAGATTAAAGGTGACCTGGAACCATAAGCCATAGCACTCCAAACCATAACTCCAACAGTGTGACGAACATGTCTTTCAACAAAAAACTGTGGATTCCTCCTTTCACCACGTCGCCTTCTAACCCGACCATCGTGCATGCCTAAACAAAATCCAGACTCACTAAAGACAATACTGTTCCATTCCTGATCCCAGAGTGACCGTTGTCTACACCACTCAAGGCGATTACGTCGGTGTTCTCGAGTTAAAGGGAGGATCCAGTGTGGCCGGTATGAAAACAAGCCAAAACTTTTCATTCGTCGGTAAACACTTCGCATGCCAATAGGTCTTCCGTGTTCTGAAAACCATTCATTTGCAATGGACCTGGTAGTGGAGAAACGGTCCCTTAAGGCCAATAACCTTAGGCGGCGATCTTCACGGTCTGTTGTTCTACGGCGGCGTCCAGTGCCCCTTGTTCTTTGCGTACGGCCTTCTCGAAGCCATGCCTGACAACACCTAACCACAGTGTCTACACTTCTTTGCACTGTAACTGCAATTGCCCGAAAAGAAAGTCCAGCTTCCCGAAGTCCCACTATACGGCCCCTATCAAACTCACTAAGTTGACGAAATCGTACAGGTCTCCGTACTCTAGGCATCGTAGCCGATCATAAAGGATGTCAAGAACCAAAATCCGCCAACGTTGATTCTTTACTGCGGCTGAAATATTCATTTTTAGAGCGTTAGTGAATTAAAAAAAAGCAGTATAAAAACCGGAATGTCCAACTGATAAGGCTGAACATTTTTTCACTTGTTATTTACAGTAAGATAAATACATTCACCAACTTTTATTAAAATAAAACCATTTAAACTGGGTGTTCGGATTTATATGTCACTTAGTATATTTTCAACAGCAGCAGGACTGGGCATTGTTAGCATAAGGACAAGCGTTTGAGATATATTGCAAAATCCCTAGCGATCAAAAAAATATGACAAAGTAAACCTCACGTTTCCAATAACGTGTATCGCTGTTTGATGGGCATTAGCGTCATTCTTGCAACCAATGATGCTAAGAGCACTCTTGAACCACGTTCCTACAAATACTGCTACATGCCAGAGCTACATAAACTGACACGCAATCACGTACAGTCTGTCTTAAATAACACCAGAGTGTGTAGATGAGTGACTTTTATGATACATTTCAGCTTTTACCAAATTATATAATCAAAAAAATTACGTCTTCCAACTTAATGCTAGATATAAACAAAATCCTCATTTGGGCAAGTCTACCGTGGAGTACCATTGTCGACGATCGTTTTTCGATTGGCTGTTGAGGGCTCTTCAAATCCATTTCGCTTCATTGCTTTGCCACGTCGCAAAACCACCGATATATGTCAGTTAATGAAGCTGGAGGACACAAAAAAGGGTCGCGGCTTGGCTGCTGTTTTTGTCGATCGCGTATTTAGCACCTAGTCGTCTGTATGAAGATTGAGCTATAAATACGCTGGTGCCCTAATATACCTGGTACAGTCGATCGGTTCATTTTTGAAACAGAAATAATGAAACTCTATGTTTATTTGGTCAGATAAATTCAATATACAGATCAATTTAGATTCTCTGTGTTCCAGTTTAGAATCCGTCTGCCTTTCAAGTGTGTTGTAACAAGCAGCCTGAACGGTCATGTCCGCGCCAAGGTTGTGGGAAATCATCATTATAATCTCAAAATATCACTACGCAAAACCAGCAATGCCTTATGAGGAAATAATTTAAAATACTTTAAAACATTTGATAATGAAGTGGCGAATCAAAGCAGCTGCGCATTTGGGATCTAATATCAAACCATAAGTAAAAGCTGGAAAAACAAATCGATTTGGGGATATATCAATAATATACTGAGTCATAAGAAAAGGTAAACACCTACGTATGTTTATCCGATTTTAAAATTTTTTGGCTTGTTTGTTGATCGTGTAATATTAATAGCACCAAAAATTTGGAAATCATCATGTTTTATCACAACAATAGTGCTGTTTCCGATACAAGCCACCTGAATAGCAGCTAATGAACATTCATATCAGACACGAGCATCTGCCAACCACACAATGAATATTTATTTATTAATTTAACAGTCAAGTGTAGTGATGCTGCTACATTAACCGGCTAACGCGCTCTGACGGGCATTAAAAATTTCGACATCCCAGTGTGCAGTGTAATAATACGCTCCAAAGGCAATTAATCCGGACTGATCCGTGATGTGGCGCTAACAACCTTCCCTCTCCGCCCTATCCCCTCTCCGCTTAGTTTCCACGCCCTCACATCACCAATGGTCTCCATTAAGTTCGTCAGTACAGTTCTGTGAACAGTTGGGAATTGTGGGTGGAATTGATTACGAGGGATGTCTTTTAAGTTTTGCATATAGAAACATAGTAGGCCGCGTGGATCGAACGTCAGTACTGAATCTTAACCTCACTCTTTAGTAAACTTAAATTCAAAGTTTCACAACAATACGTGCAGTGAATTTTTAAGTGTCACCAAGTCATTAGAAAAATGGAACTCAACCGAGAACATTTTCGCGCCATAATTTATTACAACTTTCAGGTAACGAGGCGCCACATTAGTCGACAATTTCCCGTTGGTATTGAGAATTCGAACGTGGACGGGTGAGTCATAGCGACGATTCTAGGGTGGGTGCACCAAAAATGGCAGTCACCCAGGAAAACGTCGATGCTGTGCGCAAACTCATCATTGAAGATAGACATGTGACATATCGCGAGATTGAGGCGTCCTTGAAGATCTCAAAGACCTCAATTCAAAAAATTTTACATGAAGAATTAGGAGTAAGAAAATTAGTTTCTCGTTGGATACCCCACCTGTTGACTGAATAGCAAAAAGCAGAGAGGGTTAATTGGTGTCAAAAAACGCTTGACCGTTTCAAATGTTAGTGGTGATGAGTCATGGATTTACTGTTGTGAACCAGTAAATTAACGACAGTCGGCTGTTTGGGTGTTCCAAGGTGAAGAAAAGCCAACAAAAGTCATCCGTTCTCGAAGATGGTCGCGACATTTGTGACAAAAGCAGGTCATATTGCAACAATTCCTCTTAATGAGCAAAGAACTGTTACTGCGGATTTTTATACCACCATTTGCTTGCCAAAAGTCATCACTGAGCTTCGAAAAATCAACCCCGAAAGAAGAATCATCCTCCACGAAGACAATGCAAGCTCGCACACAGCCCAAAAAACAAGGCAGCATTTAACGGAAGAAAACATGGAATTATTGGACCATCCTCCATATAGTGCCGATCTAAGTAATAGCGATTTCTTTACTTTTCCGAAAATTAAAAACAGACAGCGTGTACAAAGATTCCAGTCACCAGAAGAAGCAGTTGACGCATTCAAAAATGCCGTTTTGGATCTGCCAGCAAGCGAGTGGAATAAGTGCTTCGAAAATTGATTCGAGCGCATGCAGATGTGTATTAATCTTCGTGGAGAATACTTCGAAAAACAATAAAGTCATTTAAAACTACCCACCGTGTTGTTTGATTTCCATATGCAAAACTTAAAAGACATCCCTGGTATTAGTGCTACCACTCCATAGACGCAGATTGACCTGAAGGACGCATCGACAAAACGATAGATATTACTGCTACCTGATTTTGAACTATTGATTATTTCTGTATTAAAAATTTGGTCTCGGAGCGTTTTTAGACTTTCTATGATGTTGCCATATCTACATAATTAAGCTGATAGTCTCAGTGTTTACAGGTTATTCTAGGGTGCTAAAAATAAAAATTGTATTAACATTTAGAACAGAGGATTGTTTCCGAAGACAAAAGGATAATGATGGCGATAACGGAGTCATTACTGTCTGATTGGAACTGACCGAATATTCCCTTGGTCAAATTTGGAGAATATTCGTCCATCACTTCTTAAGGTATTCGACCGTTTTATGTATATGTATGTAAAAGCAGCTGATATCGACGCACAGTGGTTCAAGAACCAAAAAACCTGGCCAAAGGTACAAAATATTTTTTCGCGTACAGCACCAGATTTTGAAACCACTTGTTTCCTTAAGATGGCCCTGAATCCGAAATTTCAGTAGGGTGAATGTCTGTCGCATCAAACGTTAAAATGACGAGAAGCTCACGTCAAAAAAGATAATGAAACAGTGCCACGTTTTGAAACAAACAGCTCTATGCACAAGAAAACCAACATCTCTAAGCCAGATTGAATTTTCCAGTTCCGGAATCGGTTCATAACGTTGTTTGAAAAATTGAACTATGGTAGATATGATATCATTAACACTCGTCCCCTACTTAACTATCGGACTTCAGAGTGAAGAAGTTGTTCCCCGTATTGAATAATCTTCTTTGTAACGCTTGAGCTCTAATCTTGTTCACAACCTTTACTACCAATTTCATAACGTTGATTAGTTTTAGAAAATGTTCACCTAATGCTTGCTGAGACCCTTATAACGACCCACCATAGCTGGAGCGCCATCGGTTGTCAAGCCTACCATTTTCGATATTGGAATTTTCTCAGGAAAAATAATATTTTGAAAAGAAGAAACAAGTCCTGCAAAGTAGTTTGCCATTTTGGTAGATTAACACATGGTTCAATAAGTCCCGGGACTAACCATGAAAACAGCATTTGTTTCGCAAAATTCATTTTTATTCATCAACGTAATCGCCATCAAGTGCAATGCAATCATTCCAACGTTTTTCTAACTTCTCGATACTATGCTTGAAGAAAGATTGGTCCTTGGTGTCAAAATAAGCTTCTGTTGCAGCGATAACTTCCTCGTTAGAGCCAAATCTTTTTCCCTGGAGCATCTTTTTGAGATCAGCAAAGAGCCAGTAGTCGCTGGGGGCTAGATCTAGAGAGTACGGTGGATAGGGAAGCAGACTGAAGCCGAACTCGTTCAATTTGGCCATTATTTTTATTGACTTGTGACACATGCTGATGAAAAATATTTTTCTTCTTCATGTGCGGTCGTTTTTTTCGATTTCGTCCTTTAAACGCATCAGTAACTCAATGTAATAATCGCTGTTGATACTTTTGCCTTTTTCAAGGCAGTCTATGTAAATTATACTTTGTGCGTTCCAAAAAAATGACGCCATGACTTTGCCAGCTGAATGCTGCGTTTTTGGACGGTCCAAACGGCATTCTGCTGACTGCCGATTTGATTCCGGACTAAAATGGTGGATCTATTTTTTGTCTACTGTCACGTACCGATGCAAGAAATCCTGTTTATTGCGGGTGAACAGTGACAAACAGCTCTCCGAGTTGTCAACTCGTTGTTGCTTTTGTTCCATTGTGAGAAAACGCGGCACCCATTATGAAAATACTTTTTTCATACTCAACTTTTCGTGTAAGATGATAAATGAACTTCCGGTTGATATGTGTACTATCTCAGCAATCTCAAGAACTTTCGTTTTGCGGTCATTCATCACGATTTTTAACACCTCCTTAGCATTTTCCGAAGTTACTGCTTCATTTGGCCTACCCGAGCGTTTCGCATCCTTTGTATCAGTACGGCCGCGTTTAAAATCAGCATACCACCGGCAAATCGTCGTCTTCGACGTAGCAGAGATCGGATAACATTTTTCAAACCATTGCTGAGCTTGCACGGTATTTTTTCCCATTAAGTAACAATGTTTTATCAACACACGAAGTTCATGTTTGTCCACTTTGGAAACAAATGCAAAAGTAACCTCCCTTTCATGAAGGTTAGCTATTTCGACAAATGAAGTTGACTGGTCATTACTATCGCCATTTTTGTGCGAGTCCCGGGACTTATTGAACGATATGTTAAGCTTCAAAAGATCTTTTATCGTAAAATCACTAAAAACCATCCTGCCGAACGCGGCCATCTGAGAGGTGTAAACGAGACCTGTGGATTCATCAAACTGCAGTGGAAAATAAGTTATCGAAGTAATTTCTTAACTGTAAAACTATATCATTGGTCATTACTTCTACTCGTCTCATCACTGTATTAGCAGAAAGTTGCATAGATTTTATAGCAGACACTATCTCGTCTTTATTATTAATGTTGGCAAATAATGAATCTGCAAGTTCTAAAAACGCTTGTTTCATCATTTTCCCGTCTTCGTAAGGTTTCTTCTTTTGTGTAATTATCTGGAACACCCGGTTTGATGTTTCAGTTGCAGCCTCACTTTGGTCGATCGTTCTTAAAGACATTGTCTGTTGTCCAATTAACTGATTTTTTAATTGTTCCAGTTTTTCCGTTCAGGTTGCAGAACGTAACGCGAATGATTTTTTAAAATTAGAATGTTTCTTCTTTTGTGTAATTATCTGGAACACCCGGTTTGATGTTTCAGTTGCAGCCTCACTTTGGTCGATCGTTCTTAAAGACATTGTCTGTTGTCCAATTAACTGATTTTTTAATTGTTCCAGTTTTTCCGTTCAGGTTACAGAACGTAACGCGAATGATTTTTTAAAATTAGAATGTACAGTTTTATAGTTCCTTTCGATATTACTTTTTTTAGCAACGGAAATACGAGTAGATGCATTTCATAACTTACACTTTTACCTTTAACTTCTGTAAAAAATATTGTTCTTCCCATTCCGAATGGAAATGGTATGTCTTCATATTCTTACTACTGCTCATAATGTTTTTGATTGCAGGCCAACTCTAACCCAACCGCTGGACTTTGTGCCGTTAAGTTTTGAACAGAGTGCACTATCGCCGCGCCTTCTATTTATTCCGCTCAGAGTAATCGCGATCGTTTTCGTACCGATCGCTCACCGCAGTGTTGCCGCTTGTTGTGTTTATTATGAGACCTACAAAATTTACGGTTGCTTCTATGACCTTCTTAAAATATGTTGTGAGCACTGCTCCAGGCGGACGTGGCCCTGTCGTTAGCGTAACAAATACACTGCTTTGTGATAAGCCATTTTTACCTTCCATCAGCTTTATAAACTGTCATGTGAGCTATCGCAGGTGCAAAATGGAACCTGTATTTAACATGGTCTTACTGAGTGAGAACAGCCAATTTAACTGAATTCCATGAGAATTATACCGTATCAGATACACTCCATAAGTAAAGCATCTTCTGCGGCAGCTTGGAGATATGCGAATCCCAGACATAAACCGCTTAGGGTTTAGGTATTCTATGCAATAACGTAGAATAATTACCAAGTCTTGGAGAATAAAAGCCTCCGCAGAAAACAACAAATTTTCCTAGTGAGCTTCCAGAGTACAAAAGCTATTGATTTTGTAGTGGGGATTAAACTTTTTAAGCCCTGCACGAAAGTTTACCACCACGATGCTTATATCTTGCATTCTTACAGCGACTCCGCTTTGCGGGCAATACTGGAGTTCCGGAAGAGTTTCGGATAACTTAGTTTCTTTGCTATTTACAACAGCTGCCAAACATTGTCATCAAGGAAGTTTGAGGTTAAGCTGTGCTTACAATTAGTATGTGATAAGCAATGCATGTAAAAGATATACAGGGTGCTCCTCAATGATATGCGAATATTTAGGGATGTGAATCTACATGTGTTAATTTGCTTTATAGACTATAAATGTTTCCTTACAAAAACTCGGGGTGTTGAAGTTTTAGTAAAAAGATGGAAATTAATTAATATTTTCAGAACCGCTTCACATATTTCACCGATACTTAGTACGTAGTGCAAGTTAATAAAGTTGCATATTTTTCAATGCAAAAATAATTTTTAGCTTTAACAGTGGCGCGCGTACAGGTATTTAAAAAAAAATGGTACGCCAATGGTTTCTTGCGAAATAAAAATTATTTTTGAATTTCCCGTTCAATTTAAAACAAACGATCTCTCTTGCGTTGCTTTCTTTTGATGCACCATTCTTGAGTAAAAAAATAAAAACCGTTCTATTGTCTAACTTGCAAAATTATTATTAATTTAATTGGAACAATTAAACACATTAGGGGTAATGAACAACAACTGACAACATAAACATGACATTAAAACCAACAAAATGATCACAAAAATTGTTGAAAATGGCCCCCTTCACTTAGTACGCATACTTCCGCCATCATGGAATTGCGCACTCGTTGAAATATCCCGGGAGTGTTTTTTATTCTATCACAAACTGCAACTATTCTTTCTCTTAATTCTTCTACAGTGTTAATGAGACTTGTATACATTAGTGTCCTAAGATAGCTCCATAAAAGGAAATCTAAGCTGTTAAGGTCAGGGACCCACAGCAGACAATCCAAAGATTTGGACAAACAGTTTGTAAATAATTACGAACCGCTACACTGAAATGCGCTGGTGCACCATCATGCATGTACCACATATTGTTCCTTATTACTAACAGAACATGATCAAGCAGCAAAGGCAACTGTTGTTGAAGAAAATTGAGGTAAGTCTGTCCGTCAAGTTGTCCCGGCTAGAAGAATGGGCTGAATAGCATTTCGAGAAAAATTAGCTTCGTCCGTGAACAGAATCATTGATTCAAATTGCGGATTTTGTGTAGTTTTTTAAAGATACCTCTGACGAAAGATAACACGACTTGGAAAATCAATGGGAAGTAATGCCTGTACTCTTAAAATGTGGTAAGGATATAACAAAAAATCCACTAAAATATGGACAAGAATAAAAAAGAATATTATATATATATATATATATATATATATATATATATATATATATCTATTTAAAAGGTTCGACTATTTGGCAAAGCACGATAGGGATATCTCAAAAAAAAAACAAGTACCATTTTTTTCTTAAAAAATATGGAAGTCGATAACCGTACACATGCCATTTTTAAAGCTAAAAATTATTTTTGATTTGAACTTTCACTACGTACCAAATATCAGTGAAATATCTGAAGCGGTTCTGAAAATATTAATTAATTTCCATTTTTTTTCTTAAAACTTCAACACCCCGAGTTGTTGTAAGGAAACATTTTTGGACCATAGTTTATAAAGCAAACTAACATTAATTTTTCATGTAGATTCCCACCCTTAAATATTCGCATATGATTAAGGAACACCCTGTATAGACAGATAGACATTTATTTTCCAACAGGCACATACGTACCCAATAATAGAAAATCCTTAAATCCAATCGAACAAAAAAACTGATGTTATATAAAAATAAGTAATTGTTGAACAACCAAAAAAAAAGAAGAAAAATAGCCGAAAAAGTAATCAAAATAATTAAATAGATTTGTAAAAAAGCGAGAAAGGAGAGAAATTTATGTTACACATGCTAAAATTGTTACGAATGATTGAAACAGGTGATTTAGTCAAAATATTATACCTAGCCCAATCACAATAAAATGCTCTACAATTTATATCGTTACTCTGGTGCACCGCGAAGGGAATTTTACTCAACAATAATCCACATATTATATTCCCATGAACTAGTGTATACAGAAACACTGTTGTTAAAAGGAAGTACACCGGTACTCTTAAAATGTAGATATTTCAAAAAAATTTCTCTGAACATGCTCGATCTTACTATCATGGGTTTCACAGTGTGGGAGCCAAATCAAAACACTAAGCTTTGTTTCTAAGTATAAGGTAAAACCATAAGATACAAATTTGAACACTAGAAGAGAAAATGTGTCACTGTTTTAAAAAATATGCGTAGATCAATATCACATGTTCCCCTGTTTACCCTTTACAGACCTAGGTCATCACGAAGAAACATATCATTAATTTCAGTCGGTCTCTCTGTCTCTTTGGAAGCCTATCCGCTAAACATTGGCTCCTCAGTAGCTCAAAAACTGATCCAGTAGAGGTGGAGCCACTACATCAGTTTGACAGTTTCACACAATCCTAGTGTTCCAGGTAGCTGCCTAGAATCGTGGAGGCTTCTGTGGATTGCAAACCGAATAAATCTTTATAATGACAAGTGTTATACAGGGTGTAAACGTTATGGTAGTCATTATTGAAATGGGTAATAGGGGGGGTCAAATCAAGTCAAAAAGTTCATATGACCCATGGTCCAAAACTCAATAGATTTTTATTTAAATAGCTTTATGGCTTACAACTTTAAGTGCTGTATATCGACCACAATTACCACAATCTTACTAATTTTTATAATCTGATCTAAAACGTTTTCAAATTGGGTAATTAACAAATAAATGGCATTAAGTTTTTCTAAGTTAAGCAAAAATGTGTAGTGAGTAAGTAAAGTTTCATTAAATTGAATATTTAAAACACACATGACAACAGTGCGTCGGTTATCATCACTCTTATCGAACCGGCAATCGATCGCAAACGGTAACAGTGGTTACTATGTTGTTTTGTTTTTGTTCGCGTACGTCGTCGTGTTGATTGATCTACAATGTTCTCGAATCAAGAGTTCGCCGACATGTTGTAAGTTTACGGTGAAGCTCGTCAGAATTCAAATCTTGCAGCTCAAATTTATCGCGACGAGTGCAGGCCTTGTTATATGAAACTGTTTGCTTATTTTAACCCCCTCCATCACCCATTTAAATAACTATAATAACGTTTACACCCTGTATATTGTAGTAATTGGCATTGAGAAACGGCACATACCTCAACACTGGGCTTTTACCTGGACAGTGAGGTAATTTTTATTTATTTAACTTCAGTTTTCGTTTCATTCACCACTCAGTCTCAATCTAAGGTTATTTAACAGGATTGTGCACCAACAACACTGACATTTTGAAATATTGGAAATAAGTCAAATTTTTCAATTGATACTGAAAAGGGCCAACCAAAACTTCAACCCGGCTAAACTGGACTAAAATTTGACCTGATCTACTTTAGTTTTGAATCTAAAAGTTCTTCGTGGAGGTACTTTCGCATTATGAGTAGTAAATTTACAATCTCATTTTAGCGCCACGAGATTCAATACGTCCATAACAAAAAATATTAATACCAAATTAATTAAAATACTTCGATAATTTTCTTATTTGATAAATAACGTGAAATGTCCAACTGAGTATTCGCTTTTAGCCAAGAATTCGTTGGTACAAACAGCTATCAGACGTACAGAATGCGCTACGGCAGAAGTAACACAGCACTCAAATGTTCGATGCATACAAGTTGCCATCAGATGAGCCTATTATGTTCTCCAAAGTAGGAAAGATGAGAGGTGTAGAAAGATTGAAAGCGAATACTTCCTTTTGCCGACAAGCGCTGCATTTTCTATTTTTGCGTATGAATGCCTCATTTGGCCGTTTCGGTTCTAATTCTATCAACAGAGATGCCAGTAATCACGTAGACCTCCATCACTTCGTGGTGTCTAATGTAGCATGCGGTGTTGCCATTTAAAACCTGAAACATAAACTAGCCTTTTCCATATTTCATAAAAAATAGTATTTCTTATGGAACATAGGACCATATAACTAATTCCTTAGTAATTGCAGCTCAACCGTGATGCTTATTATGAGCCACAGTTACAGATGTTAAATAAAGTTTTTAGTAATTGCGATTCTTTGTCCTGTATTCCTTTAACTTCCTACGCCAACTAGCGAGGAATGATTGCAATCGTGAAATTGAGATATGGTTTTTCGATGTTATGTCCATGTCACTCATTTCCATCGATCTGTCTGTCTGTGTGTCTGTCGACCTGTTCGCTAGTCTTATAGCCGCCTTACTTGAGTGGCACTGCTCGGATTTTGATGAAATTTTCACACAAGGTCTACGCCAAGGATGAGAAAGTTTTGTACATTTTGCAAATTGGTCCAGTTTTTTTGACGATTCAGAGGCTCCTGATCATTTTCGGAAAAAGTTTTGTAGAGGTTGTTAGGGTAATGTGGAGTAGGGGATTGTAAATGTTACGCCAATAGCAGCTTCTGATCCCAGTAACAATGGGAAAATACAATCTTGAAAGTCCGATGTATAATGGGCTATAATTCGAAATAACTTGCAATAGTTGGCGTTGCGTGCTCGGCGCGGAGGTTACTGCCGACTGTTTTATGATCCTAAAAAGGAAACACCCATTCCGTCTAACCTAATTTGTGTTACTTCGTATATGAACTTTCTCAGAGTATTTCGCCAAGTAGCTTGATTCAGTACTTATGACGCATTGATGTACAACAGACACGGATGTGTTACAGTTTCTTTTTATGGTCGACTAACAATTAACTATGTCATGATAAAGTAAATTATTACAACGTTTTTCTTATTTAGAATAATATATAGCAGTTCTTAAGAATACCGATTTTTATTTCTAGTAATAAAACACTACTCCTGGTCTAATAATTTTGTGGTAGACAATCGTATTCTACTCCCCATCTCGTTGGAGGTCATTTTTTAATTTGGATCAACTGTAAATACGAGAGCTGAAGATGACTTGGTGTTATTTAGGGTACTCCAGTGTAGGAATTCAGCGGCCCACTACTCGATTTTGAGAAATAGTTTCACACCGTTGCGGATTTATAGGGTGGTGGGGTTTTTAATAGAAATCGTTCTTATGTAACATTAGGGTTATACTTTATCCGTTTAATTGTCCACTGTTTTAATTCGTCAAAAACCATTAATTCTTCAACTTATCTAGTAGTAAATAAAGATAAATATTTCGGATTTCTCATAGGTAACATTTATATTATGTTTTGTATCATAGTACATACACTGGAAATAATACAGGGTGGCGCATCGAAAACGAAACAGACCCATTTACTGACAGCTCAGTTTTTTTGGGAAAAACGCTCAGACCCGTCGATTTTGTTTTCGAGGGAGACACAAGTTTGGCAAAAAATCACGTTAACACGTGTAGCCCCCTGGGCGGGGGTGACACCTACCCCAAAATCTTAAATGGAAGGGGAGGTGGAGTGATACCTTATTTTAAAGGTCTTTCAATTCCCTTTATAATGATATAAAATTATTGTACTTCAGATCAGTAGTTTTGAAGATTTATTGTTTTAAAGCTTAAAGTGGACTTTAATAGGTACATCAGATTAGTTTGTACTACTGTCAGAAGAAATTTGACTAAAAGAATTTACTTAATAAGTAAATGCTTTCCTTCACTACGCTCATGGTTTGTTTATCATTTTGTTGTTGAAAATATCTATTGGAGCGTTTTTTTGTGGCAAAAAAGTTATTTCTTGAAGAAAGATAAGAAAATATCTCGTACTTATTTTAAATAGGAATTTAGTACATAGTTTGCGATTGATTTGGCCTAACTTTGTTGCTAAAATAAGTTGTAACGCTTTAATACATAAATTAACCATGCTATATTCCACAGCAGAAAGAGCTGAGATTATCGAAATATTTTTCGGAAATAATCAGTGCGCTAATAGAACAGCAGAAATATTTAATGAGCGACATGAGAACAGTAACGTGCATCGAAAATATGTTCTAGAACTTGTAGCTAAATTTCGGGAAACTGGGTCAGTCGCCAATAAAAAACGCAACATTGAAAATGCCATAAGGAACCAAGCAATAGAAGTTGGGGTTTTAGGGCAAGCTTTTTGTAGATCCTACGTCAAGTACCCGCAAATTGGAGACTGTGTGTGGTGTAAGTCGACGTACTGTCCAACGGATTCTAAAGGCCCATAGTTTCCATCCGTATAAAATTCACCTGGTACAAAAACTTAATGAAAACGATTTTTGATCGGCGATTACAATTTTGTGAAGATATGAGTGAACGAATTGTATACGATGAACATTTTCTATACAACACTTGCTTTTCCGTCGAATGTTCTTTTTTCTTAAATGGCGTAGTTCTAATCCCAGAATTTATCATGAGGTTCATGCACTGCAGCCACAGAAATTAAATGTTTGGACTGGTATTTTTGGCGATCATTCAGTTGGTTCTTTTTGCTTACCTGGACATTTGACCGGTGAAATGTATTTGGAATTATTGGAAGACGCCATAGATCCTGCATTAACAGCCATAATTAAAAATCAGAATGATCGGCGGTACATTGCGAATAGGTTGATGTTCCAACAGGATGGAGCCCTACCATATTACGCATTACGTGTTCGACAATATTTACATCAGACATTTCCAGACCGATGGATTGGTAGAAGAGGTGCCATTGAATGGCCCCCAAGATCGCCAGATTTATCACCTTTGGATTTCTTTATGTGGGGTTATTTAAAAAGCAAAATCTATGCTACTCAGCCAACATCATTAGAAGACCTGCGACAAAGAATTGTGAATGAGTGCCTTCAAATTACTCCTCAAATATTGCAAAATGTGCGGCCACGTTTTGACCAAAATCTTTATTATTGCATGGAGAGTCATGGTGGCCATTTTCAACATTTACTTGCCTAACGGGTCAGTTCATTCTTCATTTTTAAATTACTTTGCTGCCAAATGTATTGATCTCCACTTATGATGATGCATTAGTTTTATTTAAGCTTTAAATCAATAAATCTTCAATACTAATGAACTGAAGTACATTAATTTTATATCATTATAAAGGGAATTGAAAGACGTTTAAAATAAGGTATCACTCGACCCCCTTTTCATTTAAGATTTTGGGGGTGGTGTCACCCCCGCTTAGAGGGCTGCACGTGCTAACGTGATTTTTTGCCAAACTTGTGTCCCCCTTGATAACAAAATCGACGGGTCTGAGTGTTTTAAAAAAAAAAGCTGCCAGTAAATGCGTCTGTTTCGTTTTCGATGCGCCACCCTGTATAGTGCTATCTTTATATGTCGATAGACTGATTTTGGTTGTATACTTACTGAAATTTGAGCGAGCCATGCTCACGAGGTAAAATTTTCCAATTCGATTTTCTTTTATAACCTTGTATGCAACTTCCATCATTTGCCAGCCTCTTCTATACTTTTCCTCGGCTTCAATACGTTGATCTTTTGATCCATCACCGCACTTTAATTTGTACTGACGCATATTCCAATTATACGGGTCTTCTCAACTGGTACTAGTTGTTGAAAGTTGTAACGTCTCCTACGTAACATATGCACTAGATAAGAAAACCATCTTCTCCTCATGTTTTCTAAAAGATTTCTGTCTTTATGGAAGGCTCTGTTTATTACATTTTCATTTCGTACTTTATCACACATAGAGTTAACATCCTATATGACTGCTATGAAAACATATAAGCTTTAAAAAGTCAGATGTATTTTTTCAGTCGGTCTAACGTTTTCGGCAGAATATTAATTAACCTTCTGATGACGAACAGATTACAAATTCCAAGAAGCTACTTTCAAACCTTATCATGACTCGCGATTTATCAGAGGTACCTACACAGTGTGCAACATTCCCTGCTTTTAATTTAGCGTTCGTCTTAATCCTCTTGGAAAAATTCACCATTGTTTTCGGTTTTCATTAAACGACTGGCTTTTTGTCGGGTGTTCTGCTCCTCGAAATTAGTCTGCTATAAAATTCACAGCCTTTTCTTGCAGCGCCTGAAAATGGTTTCATTTTCGTTTGGATGAATAAATGCAGAAGGGGCGTTCTTGCTAATGATTCACGTTTTGGGTATATTGTCCCTGCAGCTTCTTGCAACTAGTTTTTTGCAATCCGTCAGCCTTCAAGTTTTGTTATGTTACATTAGATCACATCAAGCTTTGTTTTATCGTGAATGGATACTTGTTAATTTGGTCCGAGTAAAGATAACATGGCACACAAGACAACTGTTGAAATGTATTCTACTCGTACTAGACTCTAGAAGACTATTAGCAAAGCCTCGAACAAGGGACTATTGTTAGTCCAAGGAATTGGTGATAGTTAATAATTGACAGTATTTCACATCGTGCTTTGACACTAAGCTCTTGGCACTATGTTTATTAAATATGGTGCAAAAAATCAAGCGTTGATTTTTTGGCGTTTTCAAACCTGGAATCTCAGCCCCGTGTTTAGGAAACTACAATGTTTTACCTCGTTTGTTGGTGGTTACGTGGGCACCAAATGTCCCACAAGCGTAGGGATATATGATGCGTCCAAAATGCTGATTCCGTCTGCCTGTAATTCCACATGATCGACTAGTTATAAGTTGGATTCAAGCTTAAATACTGCAGCTGTCCATTTTTAGCTGCCTCAAAATGAATGCCTAATATCTCTGCGTATAAGACGGATACTAAAAAATAGTAGAGTAAAATGAAAATCTTTCTTTTCCTATTGATGATCAGGTAATTTTTAATCAAATAGTATAAAAAATAAATCCTTAATATGGATCAGCTACCTGAGTTAGTAGAATGTAGAGTTATGTATAAAGTAATACATAAAGCGCAAAAGTGTAATACAGAAATACTTTTTAACAATGATATACATGATTATAGTACTAGAACTCATATGTATATCTACCAGTCTAATGTTAATACTAACATAGGAGAATAATGGGCAAAATCTCATTATTTTCCTACTTTTTGTTATATGCTTTTCTCCGCATGAACATTTTCTCTTTGTAGATCCTTTGGGCTTGAAGCACCACAGCAAGTGGCTATAACCGGCCGCGTGGCTGTGGTTAGATGTCTCCTTGAAAATTCGAGCTCTTCTAGCCATTTTATATACTACAGTGTGTAGGTTGGCGCTTGTTGTGGACTTCGTGTGTCGTTTTTTTGCCTGTCCATCTTGGTTTCCTCAGGTTACACCCGAATCCGGATGTGTGGGCATTTGTAGTTTCATATGTGCATTCATTTCGAGCCTGATCAAGCCAACCTGCAGAAATAAGTATCGCTCGGGTTACCTATCCTATTTTCTGCTCGAATCCACTTTCCTCCTTTTTGCGGATTTTGCACATTGTTTTCCTACTTTTTGTTATATAGCTTTCTCCGCATGATCATTTTCTCTCTCTCTCTCTCTCTCTACAGGGTGACTTTGAAGTTGAGTCATTAATTTTCAGATAGTGATTGTAGAAGGAAGATAAACCAAAATATGTGTGTAGAAATAAAAAAAAAATTAAAAAAAATGTTACCTTGTTTTATAAAGTATCCTCCCGACAAGTATATCAGTGCGGACCTGTATTTGATCGTGCGGTCTTGGAGCACCGGCATGCTCTCCCCTGTAAGGTCTTAAGTCACCTGATTCACGCGCCCTTTGTACTACATTAACAAAGGCACGAGAATTGGTTCCGTGATGCCGCGGCAGCATGTTGTAAAGACCCCCCCCCCCCGTAAATAAGAATCATGTTCACAAGTTCAGCATTTTCGTAAACATGTGCCATTTTTTATTTCGTTTGAGCCACGCAACAAACACCACTATTCACTCACGCGTTACTGACTGACACATTGACTGAATACAACTGAATAAAATTGTAGTAAAAACATCGTGATAAGCGTTTCAAATTCTTTCGCTTTTTTGTTTCCGATGCGATGAACCGATAAGGCAGATTATATCCGTTGTCGCCAAACACGAGCACATAATATTATTATTGAAACAGGGCGGTACTCAAACTTCTAAAGGGTTATAACTTTGTTACTTTAATTTTACCACAAAAATGTTAAAGGAAAAAAACATTTCTTTTGATCAGATCTACTCACTGTTAAAATAAATGACTCAACTTCAAAGTCACCCTGTATGTATAGATTAATTTTCAGATAATGATTGTAGAAGGAAGATAAATCAAAATATGTGTGTAAAAATAAAAAACAAATAAAACAATTTTTGCCTTGTTTTATAAAGTATCCTCCCGACAAGTATTTCAGTACGGACCTGTATTTGATCGTGCGGTCTTGGAGCACCGGCATGCCCTCCCCTGTGAGGTCTTAAGTCACCTGATTCACGAGCCCTTTGTACTACATTAACAAAGGCACGAGGGGTTGGTTGCACTCGATTGGGAAACCGATCCGCATAAATCCGTGATGCCGCGGCAGCATTTTGTAAAGACTCCCCCCCCGTAAATAAGAATCATGTCCACAAGTTCAGCATTTTCGTAAACATGTGCCATTTTATTTCGTTTGAGCCACGCAACAAACACCACTATTCACTCACGCGTACCTACTGACACATTGACTGAATACAACAATAAAATTGTAGTAAGAACATCGTGATAAGCGTTTCAAATTCGTTCGCTTTTTTGTTTCCGATGCGATGAACCAATAAGGCGGATTATATCCGTTGTTGCCAAACACGAGCACATAATATTATTATTGAGACAGGGCGGTACTCAAACTTCTAAAGGGCTATAATGTTGTTACTTTAATTTTACCAGAAAAATGTTACAGGAAAAAAACATTTCTTTTGATCAGATCTACTCACTGTTAAAATAAATGACTCAACTTCGAAGTATATATATATATATAATTATATATATATATATAATAAAACACTGTTTTTTTCCAATTGTTGGATAAGTCCGGTATCCTAAAAAAACTGGGCATATATAAAATTATTCAGAGACATTAACGTTCCGCCGCATAGATGCCAGGCGATGCAAAATGTAAATCACAGATTTATTTTAGCTTTTGGCAAACATTGTTCCGCCTCAAATTTTATATATCTTCATTGGTATCCCTCAATACTTTATCCAAAGCTTCTTTTTTATACCATTCTAGCAAAATAGCAGAGGTAGCAAAATTGTCCGATGAGCTGGCAACGCCGCAATCTAGGTGACAAGAATGACAAGATCGTATGTCTATCCTGGGGTAACGACGGAGTCATTTAGTACGTCAGAGCGGCAGCTTTCTAATTTTGATTTGCATTTTTCAAGCGGTGTGCAACGTTACTAGAAAAATTTCGCCACGGATAGTCTTCTAGAGTATATTTCAATAGTTGTCTTGCGTGGCCACGTTACCTCTTCTCGGGCCCTTTTATGTACGCAGGTGGTATTGTGGTGGGACGTTTGTTAAACGATTCAAGTGATGATTCGGATGAAGAAGTTGTCCAGTGGAGAGAAAGATCAAATTTTCAGATATGCATAATTCAAAATAAAATCAGTTGCCTTCAAACGCTCTGATTATTTCGAATTGTGTTAAAAAAAACATTAAATATCACACCACTAGTATGCCGTAGCATATTTTCAATCTTTTCTTCTTCTATTTTTACACACAAAACTGTACTTCAAAAAATGGTAAAATGTAAAGTATTGAATATCGTAGATCAAGCGAGCCTGAACGTCGGTGGATGCTGTTGGCCCCGGTAGCATATCCACCATCAATATAAAGACAAGTTTGATGTACAAGCGGTCGATCCAGCGGAAATTAAAGGACGCAAAATTGGCTAACCGGTCGCACCGGTAGCTTAACCGGTGAATTAAATACCCTATTTTATCCTTTGAAGTCTATCGAAATACTTTACTGTCTCGGTGATACAGGTCTTTGAACTAAGTATTCACTACTAGATTTCATTTTGCTACTTGACTTGACTTGGATTCAAGTCAAGCTCAAGTCAAGTATTAGATATCAGAAAGTCAAGTATTAGATATCAGAAAGTCAAGTAGTTTACTTTATAATTTTTGTATATAGGGTGTTCACTTGGAAACGCCCAGATCCGTCAAAAGATTTGTCAAGGGAGATAATTTTTTATTCAAAAACTACAGGGTGGGCCAAAAGGTCCTGACTGTTTTTAAAAATTCATAAGCTTTTCCCAAGTTAACATATTGGATTTTTTTTTAGATTTCCAAAATAGAGCCCTGGATATTTTAGAACGGAGAGACTTAATCTAATCCAGAGAACCAAAGTCGTACAATTTTACTATGAACATAATCATTCGATTGTAAACACCAACAGGGATTATCGAAGATTTTTTAACGTTCCAAACGCCCCATCCACTGGGGCTGTCCGCAGCATTGTTCGGCGTTTTCAAACCCAGGGTTCTGTATCGGACCTTCCCCGAACTGGACGAGCACGTTTAGCTTTCACTGGAGAAAACATAGAGAGAGTAGAGGAAAGTGTTCAGGAGGACCCCGAAACATCGAACAGAAGAAGGTTGGCCTCTACAGGAGATCCCTCAGAAGAATTTTGAAACATTTGCGGATGTTTCCTTACAAAATTCAAATGGTTCAGCACTTACGAACACAAGATTATGCACAACGACTAAATTATGCCATTCGTTTCCAGCAATTGGTTAGAGAGGAAGAAAATTTGTTAAATCGTCTAATAATGAGTGACGAGGCGAATTTTCATCTGAATGGTTTTGTGAATACGCAAAATGCAAGAATTTGTGGAAGGCAAAATCCAAGGGCTGTACACGAGAGAGAATTACACTCCATTAAATGTACGGTTTGGTGTGGTGTTACCACCCAGGGTATTATTGGGCCTTATTTCTTTCAAAATGACGATGGAACTGCGGTGACTGTTACTGGCGAGAGGTATAGAGCTATGCTTGAAATGTGTTTGATTCCAACGCTTGAAAATAGACCTGGTATGTGGTTCCAACAGGATAGAGCCACAGCTCATACAGCTGGAGCCACAATGGCATTGCTAAGAGGCTTCTTTGGAGAACGTCTAATTTCAAAAAGATCGGCTATTGAATATCCCCCACGTTCCCCTGATTTAACCGCGCCAGATTCTTATCTACGGGGATATTTGAAAGAAAGAGTTTACCGCAATAAACCTCGAACCTTAAGACAACTTATGGACAATATCATAATGGAAATTCGAGCCATAAATCATTGGAGGCAGTTCTGGACAATGTCTTAGAAAGGAATTTTGTGTGTGAAAGAGAAAATGGCCGTCACTTACGCGACATTATTTTTCATACTTAGTACGAAAAAAACTCCAATAAATATATTTTATTTTTGTTAAAACTACATTAAAAAAAATTAATAAATAAAAAAGTTATTAAAGTTTAAAGTAGGTCAGCTTCTTTTGGCCCACCCTGTATTTCACCCCCTTTCATCCTCGGTCCCGCAGGGTCATTCCCTTAAAAGTTTCAAATGACAAGGGGTATCGGGTAACAGCTTGTTTAAAAAGTCTTTCAAAGCCCTTTATTTTGACGTTTCATTTTTTAAAATCACCCAATCCGTTTTCGAGAAAGTTAGAAAAATATTTATCTTAATTTCTTCAGATACAAAACGAAAACACACGAAAATATCACTTTTTATTTCAATAAGTGTTCAAAATGTTGCCCGTTGGGGTTTGCTAAATCCACATAATTTAGCTAAGCCAAATCACAACCCGAATTTTTTCCGGATTCTTTTCATCAGCACAGATATTCTGGGCGAACTGTCTGATTGTTATACCTGTTTAGTTATTTGCTGCTAAGGGAAAGAGCGAATTTCATGTTCTGTCAGTTACCTTTGTGACAAACTTGGGATAGTGAAAATTAATTTAGATTTTACTTCCAAAATGGTTTACACACTAGCCGAAAGAGTGGAAATGATTCTAATTTAT